AAAAGAGTCAAAAACAGATCAAGAGAAAAAGAGAAAAAACCATTAAAAGAACGAAAAACAGAAAAAATAAATTCCAAGATAACAAAGGGCAAAGAAAATCCACAAGGACTACAAGTAGAACAACCGCAACACAGAATAAAACAAGACTCATCACATCGAAATGGCAAAAAAGCGTTAAATAGGTTGGAAAAAGGGGGGGGCGAGGGGGCTCGCCTTTGTGAGGGTCTCATTCTCAAAGTGCGGGTTCGGCCCGAAAAGAAAGGCGAGCTGGAAGCCGGGCTTGCCTGAATGAGGCACGATCAACGAGGAGTGACTCGAGATGAAAAGAGTAGCGGGGCGAGCTGGAGGCCGTGCTGCGCCCGGGCCGAGGGTGGACGAGCACTTGATGTCCTGGAGGTGCTTGAGGACGGGCTCGTCCGCCTGGCAAGTAGTCCGAGGGGGGGCGTGGTGGGAGGAGCGGCGAGAGGCGTGGCGTGGGGAGGCGTGGAGGGAGGCGTTGGGAGAGAGGAGAGAGGGCGGGAGAGAGGGCGGGCGGGGCGCGTCACAGTGCAAGCTACGGCGAGATACGGCGCCGAGGTGTGCCGCGTCGTGGCGTCCAGTATTGATCTCGTCTCAGACACGTCTCGAAGGTGGCTCTCGGAGGTGTCACGGCCGTCCCTCGGAGGCAAGGTGTCGGAGGAGGCGAGAGGGGCGGCGAGGGGTGCTTGCGCGGCGGCGGCGGCGGCAGAGACGGCGTCCAGTGAGGAGGAGGAGGAGGAAGGGGGGGGGGGGGCGTGTCTGCCACGCGTGCGCCTTTTGGATCTCCTCGGAGAGCATCATGTGGTTCCGCAAGCAGGTCAGCCAAAAGTCGGGCACGCCGTCGCCGCCGACGGCCTCGGCGCGCGACTTGAAGAGCGGCGCCTTCTTTTGCTCGCACTCCATCCGCAGAGCCGCGAGCTTCGCGTCGAAGTCGCGCTGCACCGCGTCGCTCTCCTCCTGAAGCTTCTCCAGCGCCTCGACCCGCCCGCGCACCGCCGCAGGCAGGCCCGCCAACGTCGCGTCGCGCCGCTGCGCCGCGCTCAAGTCGCGCTGAGCCTTATCCTTCTGCAAGGCGTCGCTCGCCTCGAGAGCAACGGCGTCGCCAGCAATCGGCGTGCCCGCCGCCGACGAAAAGTTGAAGGCGAACGGGTCGGCGCGCGCCGACGCTTCCTGCGGCGCGCTGAAAGCGAAGGCGGGAGAGCCGGCGCTGCCGCCGCTCGGCGGCGCTTCGAACTTGAAGGTGCCGCCGGACGCGCCGCCCGAGGGGGGCGACGCGGCGAATTTGAAGCTGCCGCTGGGCGCGGCCGCCTCGCCGCCGCTGCCCGAGGAGAGCTCCTCGTACGCCTGCACGAGCGCATCCTTCGTGACGCGCTTCAGCACGGCGGTCGGCTGGCCAACCAGCTTCCGCTGGTCCAGCCAGGCGTTCTCCGCGTTCGACTGCAGATGTTCCAGCAGCATTCTCTTGCTGACGGCATCAGACTTGGCCTCCGCGACGGTCCACTTGGCCATGGTCTCTGCGGGGCGGAGCAGACGGGGTGTGAGTGAGACCGCTGCCCGCACTGGCGAGGCTTCAGACGGCTTGTCTCAGTATTGATCGGATGGAGCGGCCAGGGCTATGATGCTGGGGCGCCTGTGTGTGGGACTACCTATTCACTCGAAGACGTCGTGTCCGGGCCGTGCGGAAAGAATTTTACAATCTACGGGCGTCACGTTGATTCGTCTCAGTCTCACGTGAATTCGTCCCTGTCTCACTCTCAGCGTCTCAGCGGTGTCTCAATAGATCCATCACTCCGTCTCACTTCCGTCTCTCCTTCCTGCCGTCTCAGCGGTGTCTCAATAGATCCATCACTCCGTCTCACTTCCGTCTCACTGCAGTCTCTTCCTGCCTTCTCGTCCGTCTCAAGCGCGACAGGCTCCCGAGAGTGTCCGAGAGCGCCCGAGAGCGCCCGAGAGTGCCCGAGAGTGCCCAGATTGCCCAAGAGTACCCGTGCAACGTCGTGATGTGGTCGGGGCAGTGGGAGGCGCCCGAGAATACCCGAGATTGCCCGAGGTTGCGTGCTTGGGCTCCTGCAACTGCCCCGAGGT